AAAAGCACAGCCTAGATATTAGTATGCCTCACTTAGAGGTAGTAGACATGGCTTCTATTTCCCGTATGCCGAGAGTTCAGCTGCTGAGAAGGTTGGCTGTCGTAATACCACATGGAGACCAATCGAAACTAGATCTGTAATATTCCAGAATTTGATGGATCTAAATGAGAGATTGGCTCGGGGGCGGTAATATTCGACGAGCAGTCTAAAGAAGAAGTAGAATAAGAAGAAATATAAAATCGCACTTAATTTTTTCCAAGCAGAATTGGAGTGTTAAGGCAACAGCAGTTTGAACGTATATCAACAAAAGACAAGCGAAAACAAAAAGAAATAATCCCAACTCTTAAAATCGTTAACCATCTGATGTGCAAATATGAAGTACCATCCCAATGTGTCCCTCGACTATTGCAAATTGTTATTAACACCACAACGGTGAACACCATTAATTGGCTCCCTATCACCAAGGTACATTGAACAGGTAGTATCAGTAGAGCAGCTGATTTGATTTATTTTCAAATTATTTGGTCTCGAAAATGTCAAATATTTTTAATTTTTTCTCACGAAAATTATAAGTTGTTAAAATCCATTTGCTTGTGAAACCTTTTTCCATACAAAACAAGCGATTGAATAGCAGCTTTTGGAACGTTCGCCCAACTCGGCAGCACGACCGCTGATTACTGGGCCTTGCAAAGGATGGATCAATGCTTCGAGAAGCAAACAAATTTACTAGGAAAGAAAGTTGCATCAATTTTTATTTTTTCCAATTTCAATTTTATATTTTTTATAATTTTTTGTATTTCACATGGCACGCTTTGATTTAGAAGAAAAAATTCAGAACAGTTGTTGACACTTTCGATACCAGAAGCAACAACAAAATACACGCAAATGTTGTTTTTGCTCTACTGATACTACCTGTTTAATGTGCCTTGCCTATCACCCTCTATGGGTTAAGATGCCACCAGGCCGCTGAAAAACTATGCCACAAAGCACTTAAGCGCATAAGGTGCTGGCATTTTTGTTGCTGTTGCAGGCAATTGTTGTATACCAGGTAAGTTGGAAATGTTACGAATTCATTTTCATTTGGCTGTGCCGTGTTTATTTCACCGCTATGATGGTTGCCATATCTGAATTGACCAGCTGCTATTAGTCCCCTTTCAGACACGTCAAGTCTTGAAAGCAATTTTTATCGCATTCTCTTTTGTGTTTTCTCTTTGCTTCCACACGCGTCAAGTTTTATTGAATTCAAGTCCTTGGATCTTTAAATGGGAAGCAACGAAAAGATCAAAAGAGAACAAGAAAACTTGAAACGAATTGACGGTACGGAGGTATCTGTACTCTTCCCCTCTCTTCCCACCTCCTTCGCCAACGAACGAGCAGACTTGAAAGCAAGACTTGACGTGTCTGAAAGGGGACTTATTGCTGATATGTATGTACATACATATGTATGCATGTATGTATGCAGCTTGCAGCTTTGCACTTTGTGATGATTAAACAGTAAATTGTTATGATTATTTTGTTGCTGTTGTCTGCTTAGTCGATGCTTAATGACCGTTTAAAAATATATATTTTGAAAATTATAAAATGTGTTTCATAATTCGTTTAGTTCCGTTTATTATTTAGTTGAGTGTCGGAGGTGCCAGCCACATGGCTCTTTGTTGTTGTTTAGGGTTGCAGTCTTGGTTGTATTTTAATTGTTTCGGGTCAGGTTAGTTTTTGTTTATTGTGTATTCAATGCACTTAGACATAATAAATGCACTTACATAAGTCAATTGTTATTGATGCTTTTTAAGTTTGCTTATCGTCTTTTTGTTCTTTTTCGGCAATAATACAAAACTTTTGGAACAAAATAACCACTACATTGCTCCGTATCAAATCAAATTAAATTACTATTTGAATCGTGTGAATAGGTTCTCACGAATAGTTATTACAACTATTACATCTTTTCTAACATTCATCTCATCAAACTAAAACTTATGCCACATATATTTTCAACAATAAAAAATAGGCCATTTTCTTAAACATCAGTTTGCATTAGTTGCGTTCCAGATGCTTTACGATATTCACGATTTGCAGGAACAGCTGGTTTCTCCATTAATAAACCTTATGGAAGGTGGTCACCTGGAACGACTTCCTGTAAAAACCTGCAAATCGTTTCTGATTCTGAAAATCGAGTAAATTTTTATTCTAGTATAAAGTTTCGAGATATTTGAAATTTACCGTTATTCGGCTAAAAAAAAAAAAAGTATATCGCTAATGCATATTATGACACAAAATACATATTTACTTTGGCGAAAAAGCATAAAAAGCATAAAAATTATTATTTTGGTAATAAGTGATTTAATTTTCGCATAATTTCATTTGCGGAGATAGCCAGGGTTGCTGACGAGGTTTGTTTATGAGTCGATTATGGATGACAAGGCAGCCGCAGTTGGGTTGGCGATGGGCAACGCCACTGAAATTAAAATGTACACTATGAATAGCAACTATAGTTAAGTTCTATAAAGTTGAAGGTAATAAAATTTTGAAGAACCAGCAACTAAGACTTGAGTGTAAATAAGCTGAAGAACCAGTTGAAAAAAGAAATAAGTTATCTCAATCAAAGCTTCTGCGGCAACCACAAAAATGCAGTGGCCAATATAGCAACTCGTTTGCCAGCTTTCAGTTGCCAGTTGCCACCTGTTATACCACATCAGCCACTGGCCACCCAACTGCAATCCGTAATCGACTCATTAATTGACAAAAAGAAAAGGCTGACAAACAATGGAAAGTCCCGTTATTTTCTATAAATTTGCCCTTCAACAATTGAACAATTTTTGGTTCAATTAACCGGAGAATCAATTAACCGATACTCGTTTAATTAAACAGGAATTCCGCTAAATTGGACAACCTAATCAATTAAAAGATAATGCATGTACGTATTTTAAATTTAATGACATTTATATATGTAGTTTAAACTTTAAATGAAATAATAAAGTAATACAAAAAAAAATTATATTTTTACGTAAGTATTTATGTATACTTGTCCACATATTTTTAGAAATAATTTCTATAAAAACAAGTATTTTTTTAAGCAAAAAACAAAACCGACTTCAATTCTCATATAAAAATTAATATTTAAGATTATCGTTAATTTCTTCATGATCCAATTTTCGGATTTAAACCCAATTATTATTGGGCCACCTGTGAGGTAACACATTTCCTTTAAAAATATAATTATAGAAATCGGTTAACGTGTTCCAAAGTTATTCGGTAACATAAATAAAAAAAAAATCCGACGAATTGATAACTTCTTTTTGTGAAAAGATTTTTTTAACCGGGGAATACTGCATGTATGTACAACATTTTTTATGCGATGATCAAAAAAATTTTGGTTATACGTATGCATTTTTTGGGGCATATATAAGCATATTTTTAATATTTGGAGTAATTTTAATAACCATATTATTAAGTTTTTTTGTGCATATTTTTGTCTTCCCTAGTTATGACTATTCCACCGGTAAAAACTCCTAGTTCATTAACTCAGAGTATATAAATGTGATAACTAGAATAAATTTTTAAAATCAAAACCAATATTTTTTGTTTATATTTTACTGAAACCATATGGAAATAAGGCTGAATTAAACTTAGTAGTTTTTAAGTGTTTATTTGAGGTTTAAACAATTTTTACAAATTAGAGGTGCTCTGTCAAGCTACAACTTTTGAACGATAAGCTTTCCACAAAAAAAAATATTTGTTGCTCATCTTCAGGGGGTCGACTTTTCCTGATAAACAAACTTTTAGATTTTTAGCTTACCGTAAAATTTTTTCGACACTGAAAGGTTTAAGTCGTTGCTTAGCACGTTTCCTTAATTGAGCATCAATAATAAAGTATACATTTATGAGCTATTTAAGTCGCCATATATGCGTACATGCATTAGTATTTGTCATTTTAGAATTAATTTTTTCGCTTCATATTAAACTACTTTGAAATTTGATTAATTATCTTCCCTTCAGCATTAACAGACTTTTCGAATGATATACAGTACCAGACAAAATATTCGCACAGAAAATTCGTCCCAATATATGCAAATTTTTTTATTCTAATTAGCGTAAGAATTTTTTATAAAAATATAGTTCATACTATGTACAAAACCACTCAAAAATAAATCTCTAAACTTTGTGCAAAACTCAGGAAAATTCAATAAATTTGCATACTTATTTGCAACTTTCCAACCAGATTTTTTTTTATAAAAATTCTATGTATGCAGTTGTATACCCACTCAATTTTAGTATACCAAAGTGCAAGTTTGAAGTTGCTAAAAAATCGCGTTGATTTTTGGCAATTTTTTCACGCAGTTTCTGTGGAATAAAATAAAAACACCGTCTGCAAAACAAAGAGCAGTATTCATTGGGGGAAAATCTGCCGCGTCCGAACTCGTACCTCATAAAAAACAAGTATATAGTGAGATCTTTGGAAATTCTTTTAAAAATTACAAAAATTTTCTCTTGGCGGGCCTGAAAGTGATACTTAAGTAGCTGGGCGCTGCTGTATGCCTGTGAACCTTTTCTGTTGTCGGAAGGGAGGTGCCTGCCTCTGTCGGTTTTTCTTGAGGATCGCTTTTCTTTTCGTATTTTAGTCCCTAAAGTGGTGGAGAAAGAGTGCCATCTTGTATGCTTACAACGTAGATTTACCTCAAGAATGATAGAATACAAGATTGCGCCGATCAGAGAGGATTTTTGAGAATAACTTTTGTGTGACGTCACACTGGTGCAATTGCGAGAGAGAAATGCCAAAACGTGAGCAAGAATGGAAGAAGAAGAAAAAATGTTGCAAGGAAAACGTAAACAAGTTGCACAAGTGTGACGTCATGCAAACCACGATTCTGTCAAATTCGTTAAGAGAGGAATAGCGGTCCGAGATCGGCGCAACCTTTGTATTCTCTCAATCGTGGATTTACCTACTACATATTACATACATATTCATGTACATTGTGCGGAGTATCCGAGAACAAATTTCAACTCATCCATCCTTTTTTTATTTCAGGTTTACGAGAGGCATCTACAATGTCTGTTTTGTCATTCTGCTACTGCTCGTTGCTGCTTCGAATGTCTTGGCACGTCCACAGCGGTATGCACATATTGCTGTTATCGAAAATGACGCATACGAAGAGTCCTTGCCCAATGCGCTAAGAAATCCCTTCTACAAGACGCCACGCGTACGTGAAGTGCTAGCCAAGTCAAGTTGGTTCGGACCAGGCGAGGAACCGGTAATTATAAAAAGCTGCTTACAATTTTTAATTAAGTTTGAAGCATTCGGTAACATTCGGTAACATGGCAAATTGCTTGCTTACTATTTGATTGCAGGTCTACGAACGGCAGGCGGAGAAAATACCACGCGCGGAGATCTACAATGTGCTCGCGCATGCTGGATTCATTAGTCGAAGAGGAAAATTAATTTGATTTGCAGAAGAAATACATAGATGTTTTTAAAGGGCCAGAGGAGCCTATCGACAAAAATTTTTTTTTTTTAATAATGTGAGAAAGAAGGATCTATAAAAAATAAATGCGATCTTTTACTAAAAAGTTCATTGCACCTACGTATTACCGCTTCGATTCTAGTAATGCATTTTAAGGTGCAGCTCAAATTTTTTTTTTTAAATGTCAGCTAGGCCACTCTCGCGCTCAAGGCCCTTAGATGTAGTATAAAATAAAATCACATCAACCTACTGAATTAATTTCAAAATAGCACATTTTATTTGCTATACACATTTGAGGTTATTGTATCGGCGACGCACTACATATACATATACACTAGATCGTAATTATGTATGGATGTATGTGTGTACATTTGATTGCATTAGCGGCTATAGTTTTTAAATACTACGTGCTGTTGTAAAAGTGCACCTTACATTTTTAAAAGGAAATTTTTTTGTAAATAATATTTCATTAACTGTAATGTGCTACGGTACTCATTTATATGTCTAGCTTAAGGGTGCATTTGAATTTATGTAAATTAAAAATCGAAAAGAACATGAATATGTACGTATGTAATTACATCAGATTTATTAAAACTATTTCATTGCAGTCAATAACTTTAAGTATAGTCCCAGATGTAAATTAGCAAACGTTATTTCTATTGAAGCAAAATTTAGCTGTACATGAGAGTAAACGTAATGAAAACTGCATTCGTATGCAATTCATCAAAACAAAAAACAAACGTACACTTTTGACTTATTAATATTTTGCGAACAATCGCACTCCGTTTGCATCAGATTTTAGTAGTTGAATCTATGTAAAATTCATTTCAGTTAAATCAATTTTGATTCTAAAATTCTACTTCCAAGCTCGACGCTGCAATTCGTTTCAGCTGTGCTTCGTTGTCGCTCCGTTGCGGTACTGTCGCCGCCGCACTCATTTGTTCACCTTTAACTAGCAAACTCTTGCGCCTCTTTAACGCTGCGGCCTCGTCCACCATTTCCACATCTTCATCAATCGCTGAGGTGGAGTGATTGGCATAGCTTGCATTTGCATTTTTCGCTGCGCCCTCCTCATCATCATCATCGCTCTCGTCATCTGAGTCACTGCCGCCATGACCATTCATAAAAGCAGCACCAGCACCGCCGTTCAGCATTTTTCTCCGCTTGTACTTTGTCTTTGCTGTGTTGTTCAACGTCTCCGCTTCATCGGTGGTTTTATCTACTTTCGCTACTAAATCAGCGGTTTTTAAGAAACATTTCACAAAATCGGCAGCTAGGAGATTTAGAGGCGGCATTGTGTGGGTGGACATGTCAATTAGCTGGAATAAAAAAAAAAAAATAACCAATATATTGAAAATTGTTAAAAATGTTCTTTCCGATTACGAAATATTTTTTAAAAAGGCACTTAAATATGTGCACTAGAATGGGTCGGGCCTAAAAAACAGTTAAAATCTATCCTAACCATACTTAACACTGCATACATATACTGGGTGTCACAGACTAAAATGGAGCAAAACGTTTTTTTTTGAAAAATTCAAATATATGAATTACCAATTCGGAGATGTTCTAGCTTTTGGCCGTATTACCGACTTCCGGTAAAGAGTTAAACAGACCGGAAGTTCATCCTTTTGAAATGGGACATACACACACTGAAAAAAGTATTGGCACAGAGAATTTTTCACAATATATGCAAACAAATTTTTTTCAATTTTTCCCGGCTAATTTTTTATAATAATATAGATTATACCACAACAAAAAACATAAAAATATACTTTCTAAAATTTGCGCAAAACTCAGGAAAGTTCAATAAAATTACATACAGATTTTCAACTTTTTAATCAGGTTTTTAGAATTTTTTCGAGTAGGCAGATTTATAGCCCATACAATTTTAGTGTCAAAAAGTGCAAGCTTGAAGTTGTTAAAAAATCGCGTTGATTTTTTAGAATTTTTTTTTTGTCGAAGGTGTTTTACATTTTTTTTTTATTAAAAGCATTTTCGAAATTTTTTAATGGATTTCTTCCATACGTGAAAAAAAACGCCAAAAATGAGCGGTAAATCGTAGCTACATTAAATTTGCACTTATTGTACTAAAAATTTGCAAATCTGCATGCATTTTTATCGAACTTTCGTGAGTTTTGCACAGATTTTAGAAATTTTTTTATGTTTTTTTATTGTAGTGTGGAACCATATTTTTATGAAAATGTGCGAAAAAAATGTTCAATAACAAGTAAGAAAGTCTAAGTTCGGGCGGAGCCGAACATTAAATACCCGGCGCAAGTGTTTAATATATGACTTTCACCTTTCCGAAAGCTACCGCTACATGGTAAGCTGGGGCGTATCAATTTTGAGTAAATTAGAGTCCTTAAATTTCGAAATTTTGAAGTTTCAAGCAGTTCTGAAATTTACCGTTATATGAAAGGCGGCCTCAATTTAAGTCCGATTTCAATAATTTTGAACGTTTTGCTTCTATGTGGCAAGCACAATAACCATACCGAGTTTGGTACAAATTGGTAGAACGGTTACCGAGATGCATATGTGTAATCATAAGTGGGCGGTGCCACGCCCATTTTCCAAAATTTTATCCTAAACGTATTTCTTGTTGTTGGAAGCATCAATTTTGAATAAATTAGCTTTAATAATTACTGATTGATCGAAGATTTCGCATTACTCTAAATTACCGTTATATGGGATGTGGGCGTGGTTATTGTCCGATTTTTAAAATCTTCGTAGGTTATACCAAGGTTAACAACTGTGCCAAGTTTGGAAGAAATTGGTGCAGCGGTTACCAAGATATACACATGTAACCATAAGTGGGCGTGGCTGCGCCCATTTTCCAAAAATTTATAATATTTTTATTTTTCGTCTAAAACTTAATGTAAATATCGATTTTGATTGAACAATCTTCAGTAGTTTCTAAAATATCGCAGTTTTCGTATTTCTGAAAATTACCGTTATATGGGAGGTAGGCGTGGTTATTGTCCGATTTTCCCCATTTTCAATACCATCCGTCCTACGCCAGAAATAAGGGCACGTACCAAGTTTCGTTACGATATCTTAATTTTTACTCGAGTTATCGTGTGCACAGACGGACGGACAGACGGACAGACAGACATGGCTTAATCGATTTCTCTTTTCATTCTGATCATTTATGTATACATTTGCCTATATCTATCTCGATTCGTTTTGCCTGTTACAAACAACCGTTATTTGAACAAAGTTATAATACCCTTGTGCACAAGTGCGCTCGGGTATAAAAATCGCTGTATTTATTGTAAAAAAATTCTCTGTACAATACTTTTTCCGGCTGTTTTTACTACAGATTTGTAATTTTTGGACAAAAATACGTAAGTTTTGTTCGAAACTAGAGGTCTAATTGATTTTTTTTAGTAATGTTCGGTTTCAGCGGCCCAAAAATCATAGGAATACACATCCATCTTAACTTTGCATGAAAAATTAAGTTTTGGTTTCCAAATTTTTTTTTGTGCAAGTGTAATTGATATATTTATGTATCACCGCTTTCGGATTTTCTACCTCAAATTAAAGAATTATCCTTAAGGGTTTGGTTTATTCACAAAAGTTAAGGCCTGAGACATTCTGAACATCTTTGAAATAACTTTTTGCGGAAGCGAACTATATAAAATTAGAAACCACCAAAATAGAGCAGAACAAACAAAAAAAAAAAATTAAAAAAAAAAAAAAAATTTTTTAATTTTCTAAAAAGAATTTTGTATGAAGGCGTGTGGAAAATTAAACAAAAAAAAAACGAATGATGCAGTTCGATTCCCCATACCTGAAATACGGTGAAACGGACCTCTCCAGTCTTTTTACTTTGGCTATAACAGTTTGATGAATTAGTTTTTAGCGATATGCTTATGATATCTCGATTCATTTGTATGTACATTAGGGTGGTCCAAAATTCATGTGAAAAAGTATAGTCGGAATTTGTGTGCTCTCACCCCCTAGGATTCTTCTATACCGAAAAAATATACCCCGATTTTTTATTTTGAAATCAAAAAGTATTTAGAGATCGCTCAAAGTTTTCCACGTACTTTATATGGAAAAAACAACTTTTCGTAGGAATGGTAAAGATATCTTGAAAATCAATATTTTTCGATCGGAAAACTCTGATCCTCTGCAGGAGATTCCCAATAATAATATCTAATTGTTTATTCAACCATTTTTCCATAGTAACTATTATTTAAAAGTCCATCAAAAACCCCGAAAAACTCCGAAAAATACAATGGGGGGACCAATAAAAAAATGCTTAGTACTAAAAAATGGTTATATAAACACTTTAGCATTACTATTTAAAGTCTCCTGAAAAGTACCTGAGTTTTTCAATTGAAAAATATTGATTTTCAAGAATTCTATACCATTTCTACGAAAAGTTGTGTTTTTCCCAAATAAAATGCAAGGAAAACTTTGAGGGCTTTGAGCGATCTCTAAATATTTTTTGATTTCAAAATAAAAAAATTATTATTTTTTTCTATATAGAACAATCCTAGGGGGTGAGAGCAGTAAAATTCCGACTTTACTCTTTTTGGACCACCGTAACCTACATACATACATATGTATGTACGTATTTTTATAAATAGCCCATAAAGCACAGTTTTACAATCGATATTGCTCTTTGAGTTTTTTCGGCAATGTTTTAAATCAAAAAGTACACACGTGAACATTTATCAATCGGTGGAAAACTTATCGCTGGGGTCACTTACAAAAAATGCCACCAAGCGAAATTACGACAATAGAATTCGCGTCAATCGAAGGATATTTTTTTTTAATTGTTTTTAAGACGATAGATTATTAATAATTTTAAAACGCAATTCTAAGCAGTCAATGCGGCCTTTCCAACTGCTGCGTTCAGCCGAGCACTGGCGCTACATATGCATGCATGCTTTGTGCAATCCACAAAATAAATGTAAACAAATGGACGCGATTTGCGGACGGATACCTGAGTGGCAAAATCACGCGCAATGAAAATAATAGAGAAAATAAAATACACGGTTCAACAAAATTTGGTCGCATTTTATCTCAAAAACGGGACCGACCTCCTCTTAGAGATTTTTCCAGCACGCCCGGTTTTTGAGAAAAAAACTTTTGAAGTTTGCGAAAATGGCAAATTTCAAGAAAAATAAATTTATAAAATTTGGACGTAGGTTTTGCGAAGAAAAAAAAACACGTTTATAGGGAGAATATCTTCTTGATTACAAAGTGGTACTTAAATTTCTAGCAACACTAGCCACCTCGGTTCCATCGGAAAGGCAAAATTTTCAAAAAGTGGTCAGTAATTTGCAAATGTCGATTCATGAAATTTTTTAGATATATTTAGAAATATTTTTAGTGAAAATTTAAAAATGCATAGACTATTTTCCGAAAATATATAATAGCTGGCACAATTTTCCAAATTTTTGAAAATCCTTTAGGGCCGAATTCAAAGTGCTTAGTTAAACCATTGTTAGCTTAACCACCAACAAGAGTTTAACCATGTATTTATGGAAATTCACATCGCCTGAAAATATACAAATTCTAAAGATCAATATTATTATTGTTGGGGATAAAGCTCTGCGACCTTAAGATTTATTGTGCCCCCTTCAACATCAATGTTATTCTATACAAATTTAAAAAAAAAAAATTAATTATTTGAGAAGAGTTTAATTATGGGGCATGCTGATTTAAAGTTTTGTTAACTGAGCATTTTGAATATCAAAATCGGTAGTTAAACTCTCGTCAATGGTTATCTACGCACTGTGGATTTGGCCCTTACAGGTCTATTCTGCGCTGGTAACATAAATTTTGTAACCGGTAATTAAAGTGTCTGTCAACTTTTAAAACTTTTTCGCATTCTGTGCGCTCTTGTAACCGGTAAATTTGGTTACCATCTCATAAGCAGGTAACAAATTATTGCCCCGTGAAATATGCAATGCCAGGATTTGCACAAATCTTCATAGCTGAATCGCTGAATATTTTCACTGCATTACCAACGTACCTAGAATCGCGGTGACAAGAAGTGGTAACATTTTTTGGTAATACAATTTTCCGGTCACAAAATCTTCGGTAACGTGCGGAATAGACCTGTTAGTGTCTGTTTGTCTTTTCCCAGCAATGAATTTCACTAAATTAGAGATTGTTCTAAAGTCGATAAAGTCGACTTCTCTTCGTCGATCGGTCGACTTTTAAAGTTGACTCTACAGAGTCCATCAAAAAGACGAAAGTTAAATTTCCAGTAAAGTCGAACAACCCTAACACAGACACACTGCGAAAAAGATAACAAGGAGGCTATTTTTCAGCACTTTAGTACAATGGGAAAAAATGCTCG